AAATTGGAACTTTCAAGCACTTTCAAATTAACCTTGAACATAAGAAAGTAGGGACGGGTTGGCACTGGGGCACTGGGTACATAAGAGACAATGCAGTAATACTGGGATTGGCAACCATATATCAGAAGGACTGGCAACCAGTTTGCTTTTGGTTGACCAAGGATCTTCAGATGAAAACTAAGAAATGAAAGAGATGTTATAATTAAAATGTAAATCCAAGCTGGGGGTGATGACTCACGCACTTAATCCCAGCGCTTATGAAAGCTAAAGCAGGAAGTCCGTGAGTTTGAATCCAGGTTAAGCCTCTCCACATAATGAAATGTGGTATCAGAATAGCCCTAATTAATTAATTAGCTAATGAAATAAGATGTTAGCTCTGCACTAGCCTTGAACTGAAGAGCTAAGGGACAGTGCCCAGGCCCAGAGTTCAAGCCCCACGACTAACCCCCAGAAAAGGGGGAGGCTGGGAAGGTGGATCAATGGAAGGATGCTTTCCTTGCATGCATGAGGCCCTGGGTTCGATTCCTCATCATCACATAAGCAGAAAAAGCCAGAAGTGGCACTGTGGCTCAAGTGGTAGAGCATTAGCCTTGAGCTGAAGAGCTTGAGGGATAGTGCCCAGGCAGAGAGGTCAGGCCCCATGACCAACACAAAAAAAGTCTCAGAGACATGTATGCCCAGGCTGGTTTCAAAATTCTCAGATCTCACCCTCCTGAGTAGCTAGGATTACTGGCAACAGCCAACAGTACCTGGATTCTTGAATAAGTTGTGAAATCATGACAAATAGTAAAGAGTGCAGAAGAAGGTAAGCAGCTCCCCATAGTCAGAATACCAGCAAATGGCAGAAGCAAAATTGGCACCCAGGTAATTTTGATTCTAGGTACCACACTTGCTCCTAACCTATGAAATATGTTGACTAGGGGTGGGGAGACAAGAGAGTGTGGGAGGTGAATAAGATCAAAGTATATCATATAAAGGTATAAAAATTTCATAATGAAACCCATTACTTTGTACAATATGTTGGTGCTGTGCAAAAAAAAAAAAAGATGTTAGCTCTGACCCCCTCAGAAAATAGTTTATGGAATGCTGCTTGTTTTGTTATGATGTTTTAACAATGCACAAGTGTATTTGTACATACAGTTACTTAGTATAATGTATCAATTTTATATATGTGTTATAAGTATATAAGTCTTAGTATTACCAAAATCAAAGAATTCATATGCAGATATTTTTCCAGGATATAGCTATTTGATTGTTTGGCATTATTAAGAAAATACAAGCAAAGCAAAGAACCCTGAGAGTCAGCTGTCACACTTTACCAACATATAGAAGGTTGAAAAGTTATTTTTTAATATTTTTATTTTTGTGAAATTACTTTTTAATAATATAAGCTTGGATTGTAGGATCCTGTTTTTCTGGTCTTCCAGATCTTAGTTTTAATTTTTAGTTATATAATTTCTAAAACATTTTAGAGGTTTTATTCTTATCCATCTTTAAAGAACTTTCATATACAAATAGATCAAATTTATCTTTCTTGATCATTTGAATAGCTTAAGTATATCAGGAAATATCATTAAAACTATTCTCAGAAGAGTATACCTATACCTTTTCTCATGACAATACCTATAACTTCTGAAAAATGAGGTGTTTGGTACTAGTCTTTTGCCTTTTTAGCCTAACCTTCCCATGCACTGTATTTCTCTAAACCTTCCTCTTATTCCTTCTTGTCATTTCCCAACTTCCAGCAGACAGATGGTCACTACAAGAGACTGGCTACCACTCTCTACCAATTACAATAATTACATATTATAGTATAATACCATATATTATAATGAGATACAATATATAATACTTATAAAATATAATGATAATGAGAGATATCATGGATAATGTAATAAATTATAGAAAACGAGCCAACTTATAAGTGGTGAATACACATTTTAACATAATATCCTTTTCTTCTGGCAGTTCATCACAGTGCCTGATCCTTTCATAGGTATTTTAAAAAAGAAACTTATAAAGGGTACTTTAAAAAAGAAACTTCTAGAGCTGAAGGATCTAACTGTGTCATGTAAAATTTGGGGACCCAAAACACAGCTTTATTCTCTTTTCCATATATATTATAGTCAGTAGCCACTGCCCAAGGGTCTGGGACCTGGTACAAACAAACTCCTATTCACACCAGTTGGAAAGAACAGTACAGACCCTGAGCTGCTGTTGGAAGGATGCATCATAACCACAGTGACAGCCATTGTCTCTATACAAAAGAACCCTTCTGCTTTGCCTAAAACATAATTACTATGTTTTAAAAGTCAAATTAGGTCAATCTTTTGCATGCCTGGCTAATAATTGGCACAGTGTTAAGTACAATAAAGAATGGTCTTTTCAACAAATAGTACAACCTGTTAGCTCGGCTGTAAAGCCTTACAAACCTTATAAGGCTTTTCCTTAAGGCCCTGGGAAATTCAGGTCTTTACAGTGGCTTTTATTATAGGTTCTCATTCACAGGAGCTTTTCTCCCAGAGACTTGCCAGTTAAAACAATGGATGTTCAAAGATCATAAATAAGAAAATAAGAAAAACATCAGTAACAGTGATTAGATGGACAGACTGTCTATAATTTAATACACCACACTGTGATTCACACCAGTTTAAAAGAGACTGTCATTGTTCCCACACACATCTGTCAGATTCTACTTCCCATTCTTATTTCTTATATCTACACATTAGTCTATACCCACCTCGGGCTCCACTATAGAGCTCATATTCTTTATTTTTCTTAAAATTAAAGATTTCCCTCTCTATCAGAGACTTTTCATATTTTAACAAGCTTGAGTCTTTCTTATGCCTTTAAGAAAATGACTTACAAGAAAGAAAAAAACCACTTGTGTTCCTATCTTGGGGTTCATTAACATCATCTTATCTGGTCATATGTATATAGCTTTTGACCTTTTCTACTTGTCTCAGACATATACTAGTTATTACAAATAAAGGAAACCATGGGACCTATGTTTCTTTGGGCCTGGCTTACTTCACTTAATATAATTTTTTTCCAAGTCTTTCCATTTCCTAACAACTGGGCGATGTTCCTTCCCAACGGAATAACCTTTGTTTTCACTGTATTTGATGTTGGTATAATTCGGGGAGGGGAAGGGAATAAACAAAATGTTTAAATGGGGATACAGGTTGACCCATTGCAACAATGAGATGTACAAGACACTATGTTGAAAAACGAACTTTACAATTTAGGTGGGTGGGGGGAGTGTAGTTGTGGAGGTGGGAGGGAAGGGATGATAGGGGAAAAACAAAGGAGGAGGCAAGAATGCCTTGCTCATGTAACTGTAACCCCTCTGTACAGTATTTTCACAGTTAAAAATTTATTAAAACAAAAAGAAAATGACTTGCTACCTTCTCCTCCAATATTTTTAATATTCTTAGTATTTATTATACTGTACTATGAACAGAATGTTTTTCAATCATGGTACTTGTTAATTACTAAAAGTCTATCAAATTCTTGCTGTTGTACACATATGTTAAGAAAAATCAGTCCTAATCTTTAATTACTTAAGGCTATTGCTCTGTTCTGCTACCTTTGAATGTGGTGTTTTTCCTGTGAGACTTCTTGCTCTCACCCCAGGAAATTCTTCTCTTGAAGACTGGTCTAAAGGTCACTTTCGTAAGTGTGATATCATCATAGAGTATCTTTGATCACATCTTTTGGCTTATGACGCCTTCTCCAAGGCAAGCCACAAAATCCAGAATTTCTCTTCTTCAAGACCAGTCACAGAACTTCTACTTTTTCTTCATCTTTGTGTCTTGGACAGCCTTCTGATCCATACCCTAGAGGGAAGAATGCTGCCCAGAGAGGCCTAGAAGAATGCTGGGGCAGACAGACCAGGACTGGCTTTCCACACCCAGTCTGTTACCATTAGGTATGAACTGCAGTCTCCACAGACACCCAAAAGACAAGGTTCTCAGCACCCCAGCATAACTGAACAAGAAGATCCAAGCTGGTGACACTTAGAGGAGAAGGTACAGAAATGTTATTTCCTAAACCCTGTACTTCACTCTACACATTGTCTCGCTCACTAATATACTTTATAAATCTTTTCTAGTAAAGTGTCAAATATAAATAAGTGTTTCTCAGTTCTGTGAGCTGCTCCAACAAGTTAAGGGAATACAATATTAGGTTTAGGGAGAGATAGCTGCTGGATAAAACAACCTAGGACTTGAAACTGATTTCAGATACCCCCACATCTGGTATCAGAAGTTTTCTTTGATGGCTGTGGTATGATGACAGAGACAAAACAAAACAGGCTATCTGTTTTTCGGCCTTATTGCAGGAAAGTATTCTCTATTCCTCACAATGATAATTTACAGTTTTGTTCTTTCTTTAAAACTTGTTCTGAGGATTAAACTACCCATTCTCCTATTTTGGCAAAAATCATAAACTGTACCAAATACAACATCTTAATATTTATTTCTCCTTCTTTCCCAACTTCCATTAACCTTAATCATTTGAATTATATGATTAACAGGAAAAACATTTTAAAGATCCTGCCAATGAATTATTTCACATCTTTGCAGATGCTCTTAGGCCAGTTTCTATAACTATCCCACACATAACTAACATCCACACTAGAGTGGGAATTAGAGACACTGCATTTGCTATTCCTCTAAGCACAATATCTTGCAGAAGCACTTGTTTGAAATCTTGACGCAGCCCTCTTCCCTGACAGAATGAAACCGAACCTTGAATTCCAGAGACCTTTATGTCATCGGTCATTTTGTCTGACTACAGGTGCACTTGGCTAATGTAAAGGCTATTCTCACAGAAAACCAGGTCAGAAACTCTTCAGATTATCTCAGACAATCTCATTTAAGGAAGGAAAAGCTTCCAGCTAATCAAGGAACTCAAGCAAATGAACGCTGCTCCAGAGCTCAATATTTGCAAAACACAAAAACAAAAACAAAACAAAACAAAACACCTAAGGTACTTACGCATGTCACCAAAAGTCCCCTTAGTCACTTTAGTGGCTCTTAATACCACCACTGTGAATTTATGGGAGTACTGGTGCTCCACCTAGAAATAGAATGATAATGAAGTTAAAATAATTATTTCCTTGAAGCCAGTAAAAGCATTCTAGCTGAAAATAAGTAAACACATACCAGAAACATTCTTTGATATTAACGTCTGTCCCCTTTGTACTCTTGTACACCGATCATTGAAAGTTTAGATCGTTATTTAAAATGTTTCTACAGCTTGACTGTTAGAACTTCTTTGCTGTCAGGTTTAACAAGGACTAACAGAAAAATATACAGCAGGGCTTCATGTACTCGAGGAGCAGAGTCAGCCTGTGTACCAGCTGACTAGGAAACCAGGGTTTAGAAAGGTGAGCCCAGAGCACGATCTTTGCATCACTCAGCTGTGTTTGTTTTTATTGTTGCTGCTCAATATTAATCAAAAGTTGTTTTTCCTTTCTGGTTTCTTCTAAAGGACAACTTCTAGGGAAATTGTCAAAATACTTTGGTCAACCTGTATCCTTATTTCAGCATTTTGTTATTTCCCTTCAACCACTCTTTCTAAGGGCTACTGGAATTAATGAGACAGTATCAAGTGATTATAATTTGCATTGTCTAAGAATGCAAATTATTCTCAAGAAATAATCCCTGGCTATGTTTCCTGAAGGCAGTATCATTGCAGAGTAGCCTAGTTGGACTGGGTTCTGACTTGGACAGGAGACTTGGGTTAATGGCACAGGGATAGTGCCAGAGGAATTATCATTGAATGTACATCCAGTGTTCCCCAGGAGAAACGAATGAGTCAGGATAATGCTAGGTGGTAGCTGGCAGTTTAAGATGTCCTATTTCTATAGAGATGTCAAATCTCAATCTAATCCACTAGTTTAGTCACAAAGATTAAGTCCTGCCTGCAGGTCAAGTATTACCTTACTCTGAGTATCTGTCTTCACTCTAATCTTTTTCACAGGGCAAACCAAAACCCTGTTTTCTTTTCACAATTAAAATTTACCATGCATTGGGAAAACAACTGTGTATTAAGTTTATACTAGCAAATTATATTGGTATCTTTAACTAAAATGATTAGCATTTGACAAAAGAACTAACATGTATGAAACCAATTTGGGGATTTGCCCATTCAGAATTATACTGTTAACAAAAACCAAAGAAAAAGTCATGAAACAAATTTGTTGGAAGAAGAGGTAGATTCTTCATGAAACTATTTTTTGTCTTTACTTAACCATCATTACCTAATATTAATCAAAATTAAAGATTACAAATATGATAGGAATCATGGGATATAATTCTGAGGCCAGAGATTGTCATCACTAAAATCAAAAACAAGAATTCAAACAGATCTCAGCACTGGTTTTAAAGAAATACTGTCATATTGCTCTTATCTCTAAGTCATGGATTTTTTTTCTGTTTACTTATTGTGAGTTTCACTTTCTGACATGGAGTTTCATTCTAATATAAGTAACAAGCATAGGCTTGTATATTGTTATTATTTTCCCACTTTTTAGGCTAACATATATTTGTAATATGACACTATCCTATGATGCTTTGACAAAGGTGTGTCGGTTATTTTGCCTAAGTTATTTTAATGTCCCAAATGCCTATACTACTCACAGATTTGTGTTAAAAATCATAATCAGAAATATAACTTGATTCTGGGCACTGTTGGTTCACATCTATAACCTTAAACAACTCAAGAGATTGAAATATGAGTATAGCAGTTCAAAGACAATCCTGACAGAAAAATCCATAAGACTCTCATCTTCAATTAACCACCACAAAGCCAGAAATAAAGCTGTAGCTCAAGAGGTAGAGTGTTAGTCTTGAATTAAAAGGCCTAGGCCCTAAGTTCAAGCCCCAGTACTAGCACTCCTTCCAAAAATATGTATGACTCAAGATTCTTCTCTTGCTTAAGCAAGAAACTTGTCACTTGTACAATAAGTAAACACATCAAGTTTGGAAATATGTGTGTCTTTTCAATGTAAATATAAAATATACTTTCACTACAAGAATTGTTTTAAAGAGACAGGTTCTCACTAGAGAGTTTAGACTAACCTCAAACTCACAATCCAGGCTCAGCCTTCTGAGTACTAGGATTATAGGCCTGCCTTTCATACAATAAAATTTTAGGTCCTTTCTTAATCAAAATCACAGTGACTTCTGAAGCAGTAAAAAAAAGTATCAGCACAGTTCTAAAATACTCATTTAATGACAGAGCCACAGTGAAGTTATAGTAATTATAGTAACTATAATATCATTACAATACCTAACATGAAACAGTCACATGAACACTTAGCACCATAATTAAAATTTCAGTACAACTTCTCTGGTAGAAATTAATAAATAAATTAAAGCAAAACTTGACCTGAATAGAATAGTGATTACTAGAGACTGAAAAGGTTGCTAGGGAGTGGAAGAAGACAGCAAAAAGGATAATTGAACAAAAACAATGCATGCTACATTCATA